CAAATGTTTACAACTTAACAATCAACACATATATACATACAGACAGACAAATGACTGACTTTTCTGGGAAATACATAACTCTAATTCTGTGATCCTATGATTCAAAATGAAATAAACTTACTTAGGTAATATACATTATTTTTCAAAATAAAGATTATCGAGAGCAAACGGAAACCGAAGAATTATTATGCATCTTCAGTGATTTTTGGTAACCTAACAACAAAGTTTATGATAAATTTGATGACTTCAATATTTTAATCGTCAACTTCCCTTACTTAAGTAGCAATATAGCCTTATCACCTCCATATGGTTTTTTTTGTCTCCCCAGATAATTCGATACTCAAGAGCATGCGCTACGCATGAAAAATTTCTGAAACGAGGTAAGCTATTGACAAACAAGTTGATGAAACAAGGATCTCAACAGTCATCATTCTGCAAGTTTTATGGTCGATACAGTAACTTATCATTAAGTCAAATGCTGACTGACATTTTTCATACTAATTGAAAGGCCATTATTCACACATTGAATTGTCTATGGATTTTTCCGTTTTTCCCGATCATGACAAGGAGCACACGGCTGGTATGACCGGTTGGCAGGGGATGTTCACTCCTCCATGGTACCTGATCCCATCTCTGATGTTTTGGAGGTCCGTGTTTGCTCTGCTCCCCATTTGTATTGTCTAAATGGACTTTGAGCTTGAATACAGTTCGTTATCTCCATATTTCACTCAGAATCATATTATATCATCAGGTTTTTTTAAATGATAAATGTTTCCTGCTGAGATGACACAAGTAAAGCTGAAGCTTGATTGTCTCTCACACCTTCATTCTTTGTGTTTGACAGTGTCCAAAGGTGTTTTACGCGATGTTGATTTCGTGAAGTGTTATGACAGCGGATGACGAAAGTGAAGTTAGCAAAATAAATGATGAATCAAAAAACCGGATAAAAATTCCATTAGTACTAAGGACTTCACCACGCCATAACTTCCATCGTTTTTCAGTAATTGACTAGTAAGATACTGAGAGTGTCATAATCACATTACTTGGGTCTTGAATACCACTTTATCTACGAAAAAATTACATACAACTTGCACGAGACAGAAATAGTGCCTTTTATTTTTACAATATTAATTATACTTTATACAATGAATATAAGTAATTCTCTTTTCAATTTTTTATAACAAAAATTCCATGTCTTTGTAAAAAAAAAGGTAATATTTTCATATTTTCAAAATTCTTTGAGCTAGGGGGTATCTATGTTAAAGTTATGAAATCAATATTCCGGCCACTAATTGTCAAATAATTAAAAAAAAAAAAAGCTAGATGCTGTCATAAGACATAAATACCCACACTAAGGCGTTTGCTTCTAATGGTATCTCCTTCGAATTTGGGTAACCAGGGAAGAAGCCACAATAATTGTATAATTTAAATCAATGATAAAATGCTCAGGTAAACATGCTGACAATTGGCCGCTTATGTAAATATTTCATACACTAGATTTAAGACAAAATTTGATGATGTAAATTCTGTTAAAAATTGAATATTCATCAGATTTGTGAAATAAAGGAGGGGTGGTTATATTTTGGCCCATAATTGTAACTTGTTGAATTTAATGTCAATACAACAAATGTTATTATTTTCAATTAGTGCATAGCGTTTCGATGAACTTAAAAAAATCAGATGCCAAAATAACAATTTTTTGAAATGAATATTATTCTTTTATTTAAATCACTGTTATGTTTTGCATGAATTATAATAATAATAATAATAATAATAATAATAAAAAAAACAAAACAAATCAAGTACTTTGTTAAAACACTAGATCATTTGAACTTTTAATATTATTTTACCCAAAGTATATGAGCCACAAGAGCATTGAAGTGTTTTTATCTTTGTACCGTAAAATCCTTTTGAAAGAAAAAGTTTTATATCTGCAAACTAAATTATTCCCATCCTTATTTTCTGTAACCTTTCAAAATACAAAGAAACACTTTAAAACAAGACAAGTCACAAAATTATTTAATAGAAGAATACTTTCAATGAGGTGAAAATCAATTCAAAGCATGAACTGTTATATTAAAAAAGTATTGACACTCAAACCATTAAGTACCTAAATTTGAGCTTCTTACATTTTCCCTAGCTGCTGGGTGTAACATACATTTCTTAAAGGACAACAAATGTATTCCTGAAAGATTGCTTATTTATAACTATTTTCAATATATCTTTCAACTATATAGAGATATATTTATTGGTAGTGTTTGGAAAAAAAAAGAGTTTGTGCATCTTTGAATATTTTTAACCTATTTAATACTGCATTTCTTTCAAGAATAAGTTCGGTGAAATACACTATTGCTTGATACTAAAATGTATTTGAATGAAATGTAAATGTGATGAATGACAATCATGCTACAAAATCCAACTAAACTACACAAAATCAGGGCAAAGATGCAGGAATAGGTGCCATGGATGAGTAAGCATCCCCTGTTAATAGTTCATACACATCATTAACCCGTTTTCGATAACAGATAAGCTGGATATCCAGTAGACATTTCAGAAGAAAAAAAAATAATAAAAATCGTTTTTCTCATGCTCATGCTTATCAAATCACTTCAAGACATAAACACCACATACAGATAATAAACGTGTAACTAAGGGCAGTCGATAATTTTCACCTTTTATATCGTAAAGTTTAGTTGGTAATTTACCATCAATGTATTTCTCTATTAAAACATCTATAGATATGAAACAGATGTGGCAGCTACTGTGGCAGGAGGATAATTGGTGTGTTCATTTCTTTCTTTTTTTTTTTTAGCAACTTTCCTTATTTATGTAGTAATATTCCGCTATCACCTGCATATGTAGCTGCAATAATGTAGCCCTCTTCGAGTTTTTGGGGAGAGAGCTACAACTCCTTATGATCTCCGTAATGGTGCAAGTGCGGGAGTGATTAAATACCGCACAGATTTCGGCTCAAATTATAAGTAAGCAGGTATTTTATTAACATATCTGAACTCATGAAATGTAGTTATACAAGACATGAATTGATCCAAAAATGTACAGAACAATCCGTATATCGGTTATTTTTCGTGTATGTCAACATAACAACTTGAATTTATCCGCCATGTTTACTGACCTTGATCGATTTTATTTTGGGACAACCAATGAGAATTCGGGATGTACGGGAGTGGATCGTATAGGATGTCCCTTATTTCAAGCATAAGTATCACTGTTTATGAAAAAAATATCATATGGAATGCTTTTATTTATCGATGTTTAGTGATATCACACAACACAAACATTTATCAACACCGACACTTACTTTATCAAGCGATTCTAAATATCAAGAGCAAGTCTCAGTACATCACGCGAGAACTGTCGTGGCTGCTGAGGAGAATGACTGTTAAACACTTTTACTTGGTTTTCGAGTATAAAGGGCTTTGATATTGACAGTGAATAAAAATTCCGTCTCATTGGAAGTAAGTTGAATGCAAAACAATTTATTTTGCCTGCAGTCGCCCGTATCTAAAAATATATTTGCACCATTACGGAGATGCAGTGGAATTGTAGCCCTCTCCTGAAAATATCAGATTAAAAAAAAATCGGAGAGGCCGGGCTATATTATTGCAGCTACTGCATATACTTCTCCTAACTTATCTGATACTCAAAGTTTCTAGTACGACCAATTTTTAAACCGAGAAAAGCTACTGACAGATAGGTAGATGTTACAGGGATTTCAACAACCTCGTTAAGAAGTCACAATTTCGTAGATTCTATGGTCATTATAATGACCTTGTTAGCAAATGCAACCTATCATTGGGTCGTATTTTGACCGACTTGTTTCATACCAATTGTTAGGCCTTTATTTTTATATTGAATTTGACTATGGAATGTTCCGTCTACCTGATCAATACATAGGGCTCATGGCGAGTTTGACCGGTCAACAGGGGATGCTTAATGCTCTTAGGCACGTGATCCCACCTCTGGAATTTCCAGGGGTCCGTGTTTTATGCTCTCTTCACAGAATTTAATTTTTATAGATTTTTTGAGATCAATCAGTGTTTGTTATCTTCATCTTTTTCATTGGAGATATAAACACTAAATGCAGGTGAAAGTAGAATATTACTATAAATAGGGAAAAGTTAGATTAGAGGGATACGACAATATCCTCTGCTTTTTGAAACAGTTCTGTTTCATAAAAATATAGGTAGGCCGATGAAGGAATACAATAAGTGCCACCTGGAATTTAAAAAGATTTTTGGAAGATCTGGCCCCAGGATCGTGAAGCATTTTAAGCTTCAGTCAAAAATGTATATTGCGCTAAAATGATTTAGAAATCAAGCAGACCAAAATTAAAATGATTTTAGATTTGCATTTATAGACCACCGTTTTACGCAAATTAAGAGTTTCAGTTAAGTAGTAATAAACATTTTATAGATGATTAAAATTTTGACTTAATTCTAAGTCTGTTTCATGATCTCTGGGCCTGATCTCCAAAGACTTCATAGATGGACTCATCATCTTCTCAATATCAGTTTTAGGGTATTTCTGAGTAGAATCAGAATGAATTTAAGGTAATTTTGTACAGGACTAATCACAAGATATGAAACTTTTCGAGATCCATTTATATTGAAGAAACAGTTAGCTATGGTATCAAAAGCCTGGTCTACGATATATTACTGGTATTGTTATTTAGAATGATTTATTTTGCCGTCAGTTGATGTTATATTTTTTATTTATTGAATTGCAACAGACTTGTCATGCATAATACAGTAAAGGGAATGTTGCTGGTTCTCTTATGAAAGATGAATATACTACAGGTTAGCGATGGTGGGTAAAAATGATTTTTTTTTCTTCAAAATTATCTACAATGTCTGTAGAAAAAAAATATGAACCGCAAATCAAAATAATTCAATCGGGCGAAATTACATGCAGTGCAAGTCCAAGGTTTTAAAACTTTAATTATATGAAAATCATTTCTAATACAAATCAAAGCTCGGAGATTTAATTTAATTTTATTTATTTGATACAAACTGGTCAGTTGACATTAAAACAGTCACATAGTAGCTGAACAAGTCAAATAAATAAATAAGTAAATAAATAAACAAATAAATAGATCTATAGTTGTTTTTTCCCAATTGTAATCTGAAAAAGAAAATGGTAAAAATCATTTTAAAAAATGCGAAGAAATGTTAGCAGAAATGTGCTTAAAATTGTGACGCAAAATGTTTTGCTTTGAATATTGACCAAAAATTGAAATATTCTTCTTTAACATATTTTAAATCATCTCGTAACGTACCTATTTACGTCCGTAGTTTTTACATCCGTGAGGTCCACATCCACTACCCCCATGACCACCTCTGATTATTCCTCCAATTCCTCCGGAACCTCCTGGGATAATGCCCCTAGGATGACCACCACCAATATCGCCATGACTACCGGAATGCCAGGAGGACTGGTGGCTCCACTGACTGCTGCCGCCGATGTGACCACTAGGAATTCCTCCACCTCTAATGATTCCATCAATTCCTCCACCTATTCCTCCACCTATTCCCCCACCCCCAATATGACCTCCTCCGATTCTTCCACCGCCTCTGATAACACCAGCTGTAAAAGAGAAATTAATGTATTTTTATGAAATAAGGAGATAACGAACAGTATTTAAGCTCAAAGTCCATTTAAACAATTCAAATGGGAAGCAGAGCAAACACGTATATCCAAAAATATCAGAGGTGGGATCAGGTGCCATGGAGGAGTGAGCATCCCCTGCCGACCGGTCATGTTATGTACAAATGCAAAGCACTATTCCTTCAAATTAAGTTCAATTGATGCTTGCAAACAAGTATGTTTTTAACATTTACTTTGAAATATAACGAGAGAGAGAGAGAGAGAGAGAGAGAGAGACTTACGTCGGTATCCGCTACAATAGATTGAGGAGACACAAACTCCCAGGAGAAGAAGAGCTCGGATCATGGCTGTTGATTCGTTGAAGTTAAGAACAACTGTGCTTTTAACACAATAATTTTGGGGTATTTATACTTTTTGTTCATATGTAAATCTAAATATATATCGTAAGTTTTCGGTGCATTTTCAGTACATTTTCTTTCAATAAGAGGACAATTAGTCAAACTAACACATTAATCAGTACAAATTTGTTTTTCAGAAAATGTATTTGTTGACTACAGGAAATTCGTTTATTGAAAATTAAATTTTAACTTTTGTACGATCAACTCCGAATATATGCATATTTGTAATTAAATTTCTTGACATCGTGTCATATGAGTGCATATTGTACTGTAGTCATACTTTTATAGAATTATACAATGAACAACACATAGAACTTTTACAATCATGTTTTAATTTCAATAGTTAATTATTTTTTATACATAAAATGTAAGTTTTGGCTGATTTTTAATCATTTTAAGATAGTTTATTCAGAATGAAAATATATGGATTAAAGTAATAATTTTTGTAAAAATCACATTTCAATAACAATTTTCCATATCATTTGTCATACTCTTTTCCTTAAAGAATCTCAATCTTTTCAAAATAAATAAATAAATAAATAAATAAATAAATAAATAAATAAATAAAACTCCGAAAATGTCTCTTAATTTTGTGAAACACTAATTAGAAAATATATATATTAATAATTTTCACATTACATGTTAGAAGGATGAACAAAACATTTAATGCATCTTAGGTATCTATCGTAAGCGTAAAGTTTTAACAGATTTCTTTTCCTTGGCGTGTGGCGCATACTGTGTTAATGACAGGTAAACACTTGACAGTAAGTACACAAAACCTTAACTTAATTGACAACCTCCGTCAAGTACCTAATGAGGTCCCGACGAATCTTCTTTAAACAGTTACCTGTCTTCAATAGTCAACTATGCATATATAAATGTATAATAGTTTGAACTCCGGAGAGATTAGGTGGATTTTATTCATAATAAAATAATTTTTATCATATTTTATCAATTTAATCTACATTACCATTGACTCTATTCAATAAAGAATTTCATGTAAAACTGAAATTGAAAGAAGTAAAGAAGTAAATAGAAATCAGTTAAACGATATTTTTTTACCACTGATTTTATATCATTTAATAATAAAATCCTTATACTCTGTATTTGAACTTAGTGAATGGATGTCTCTCTGCATGAAAATTTGCAAAACGTTAACGTTCACAAACATAAATATTGTGGTTCTATTCTCTTTGGATTTGTAAAAGTATACAGGTAGGCTATGCTTTCAATGTGAAAATAGTACGGCATGAGTATTTCAAATGGAATCTATATAATTATTTATTTCTGATATTGATTATGAAAAATTAAAAGTACTAGGAAATGTAGAAATTTTATTGTTTGTTTTCCGCCGCTAAACGCTCTAATTTATTTGAAACCTTGAAAACAATCTGTTCTGTAACTTCATTTCCTTATGTAGAAGAATTTTTGCGAAATTTGAAAATAATCAGAATCGGAATATATAACTTAATACGGTAAACATAGTTATTTTTACGGGGTATAATCTTGCGATTTTCATGTAACAAAGCGTTTGGGTTATTTTTGTAGAAGCTTAAGAAATTACAAAAGGTGTTGGTCTGATCATTAGTACGGTATGTTTTTTAAATCGTTCGCGTGGTGATAGATTTTGCGAAACTCTACTCATCGTAAAATAGCAAAAAATTCTCCCACACAATCATTTCAAAGTTTACAGTATCAGGCATATCTTTGATTTGCTTGAAATCTACTGCCCAGACCAATATTTAACATTTAACGTGTTATTTTTATTTTGAAAATCATATATGCTCATACATCTAATTGTTTTTTATTTATTTAAATAAAAAAATGAGAAATTTAAGCAAGTATATACAGTAAGCTAAGTGATTAACGAATTACTTTTCAATTTATTACTGTGATTTGTCATCACCTGACCGTGAAGGTGAGGCGTTAGGGACATGGCTTGGTTGTAATATGGATTTCATACAGTTCATACCTGCATAAATAATCATTTTATTAAAATCTTAAAATCTGAAATACATAAAGCTGCTTTATCAATATATCAGATGCAATGTGATTGACATGTCCCTGTTATTGATGAAATATATGGAGATAACGAACAGTATTCAAGCTCAAAAGTCCATTAAACAATACAAAATAGGAGCAGAGCAAACACGGACCTCTAAACATCAGAGGTGGGATCAGGTGCCATGGAGGAATGAGCATCCCCTGCCGACCGGTCACACCCGCCGTGCGCTCCTTGTCATGTTCGGGAAATAACGGGAATATCCGTCGACAATTCAGTGTGTAAATAATGGGCTAACAATTAGTATGAAAAACGTCAGTCAGCATTTGACTCAATGATAAATTGTATTTGCTGACAAGGTCATTGTATCGACCATAGAACTTACGAAATGATGACTTCAAACGAGACAGCTGATATACTTGTTTCATCAACTTGTTTGTCAATAATTTACCTCGTTTTAGAAATGGTACATACGTAGAGCATGCTCTTGCGTATCGAATCAACTGAGAGATATATAACCCGTATGCAGGTGATGAAGGTATATTGCTGCATAAGTAAGGGAAGTTGACGATTGAAAAGTTAAAGTCATCACGTTTATCATAAAGCTTGGTTGTTAGGTTACCATTAACGTCTTTTTCAAGTAAAATATCCAAATATGAAACAGATGTGTCAGACTCTGTGGTATCTTTTATCTCAAGCTCACCTGGATATATCGTATCGACATAAGAATGGAAATAGCTATTGTTAATTGACAATATATCGTCGATATATCTAAATGTGGAGTTGAAGGCCACAGCAAATGTTTTCTTCTTTTCACGCACAAGATTTTGGACAAATTCTGCTTCATATTTAATTTGTGCAATTCATTTTATGGAGTCTGGAGATATTCTCTTTATGTTGCACATGTTAAAACTAAATAAATTCAGACCCCCCCCCCCAAAAAAAAAAAAAAATTCAAAGAGAGATGATGTTTTACATTTATTCATAGAACTAGGAATAAACATGTGGAATCAAACTGCTGATCAACTTTCTTCCTGAAACAAATAAAAAAAATATGTATTCATTAATTAAACAGAGTGTTATGCTTTATTTTCAAATGACGGCATATATCTTATATATCTTTACCCCCTCTCCATTCAAAAATTAAGCAGATGGATACTAGTAATATATAATAGTATTTGACATACAGTTTAAATAAAATATGGAGATAACGAACAGTAATCAAATTAAAAAGTCCTTTGAAACAAAACAAATCGGGAGCAGAGCAAACACGGGCCCTTAAAAAAACCTCAGAGGTGGGATCAGGTGCCCCTGTCGACCAGTCACACCTGCCGTGTACTCTTTGTCGTGATTGGGCAAACGGAAATCCGTAGACAATACGGTGTTTAAAAATGGACTAATCAACTAAATTAAAATAACATAAGATTTGTAATTTTAAAATTAGTACGAATGGATTTTTGAGCTTGATCACTTTTCGGTATCTTCATATTTCATTTTTTACTTACGCTACTGCTATTGAAATTTTCTACTACTTTTGTGGCATCAGTAACATGATTTTGCTTGGCGAATTACAGCAAAATCCAATAAGTATACAAGTATCATGTTTTGAATCTCTCACAGAATACAATTTAACGAAAATGCATGTAATTGAATTAAATTTATTTTTTTTCTCTTATTGGAGTTACATTCACATTAATGTTTACATATATTAGACAATTTATTTATTTCACTTAATCAAACAAATCATGTTTGTCCAAGACGTACACACATTTGGAGTATTTACCTGATATATTTATATCTCTCCTTTCTGTCTCGCTCTCCAGTTTATCCTGGATATCCATGCTCGGGGCGTCCTCCTAATCGAACACTTCCTCCGCGTACCTGAGGCCGAGAAGGGGGATCAACATGACATGCAGGGGGTATGCATCCTGGGTTCGGCCTTGGGTAAGGGTTTGGTTGTGGGTAAGGATTACGTCGTGGGTAAGGATTTGGTTGTTGGTCAGGGATGGGGTCAACATGCCAACCACAGTTAGGAAGTCCATTGTTACAGTTCGAACGACCTATATTTCATGTGATAACGATATTCATAAACCAATGTACATAGATTTGATTTGATTTTTAAAACTCAAAAATAGCAGCTAATATTTGATCATAAGACATATGGTTATTGGACACATTTTGATACATAGTAGTAGTATGAATGCACAACATTGAAACCCTAATTCATCATATCTTTTTTAATGAGCACGACCAAAATATCTAATCGTTGACTATATTTTACTGTCAAAAACGATGAATATGATATCATATAGTTAGTACTCTGAAACTTTGATTTATACTCAGTCTTTGATTTAACGATTTAACTAGTGAATATTCTTTTTCGCTACATTTTTTAATCTTTGGATTTTTGAAATAAATATCTCAAGAAATTGACCAAAAAATATGAAATATGTAAGAATAGTGTTTGAACATATCAATTCTGCCTTTTATTGATAAAATATAAATGATAATTGAATAAATCATGTCACTTTTTAAAATTCTTGATATATAGACATGTACTACTTTGCCAGAACAAAAGCTCGAGCTTTCATTAAATGGAACTACGCATCTCTGTTTTCCTTTTGCTCACATTAATGATTCTAGTATAGTGTTGTTTATTGTAGTAATTTAAAGATTGAACAAACAACTAAAATCTCAAAATAACGTCTTTAGAGATTAAAGAAGAAGATAATTTAAATTGATAGAAAGATATTTCATATCGATGATAAAATAAAGTTTGTCAGGATGTTTATTTACGTACACACGTGTCTAAAACCCCAAAATGAATGACCATTTTGAATTTTTCTCTTGCTATCTGTTGAACATATTACTGATTTAAATCTTACCTCAATAAATTTGACAAATTACAACGGACTGAAGGCATAGAATTCCTAAGGCTAGAATGGTCAAAGTTCTTTGAGCCATGGTCGAAATTTTGACAGGATATGAAATACCCTACGCTTTTATACTATTTTGATAGGAACTGATTAAAAATTACTAAAATGTTAGAAATCAGTAGAACATAATTAAACAAGTACAAAACGATATAGTTGGGAACGATATTTATGGGTTTTATGTCATTTTATGAATAAAATTATCATTTCATTTTATCAAACACAGATCAGAATAATTTTAACAAACTTTTAGTTCTGACTGTTTTAATCTTTTTAAATATCAACTAGTCAGTATGAAAGAAAAAATATGGCAGTAACATTATAAATAAGTGAAATTTTTATTGAAAGTAGTCAAAAATATCAATTTTTAAAATAATTCTAAACAAAGCAGATTTTATTCCTTGAAATTCTTAACTAAAACTATTTTATTTTCATTCAAAGGGTAATTGTTTATTCAAAATTATTATTACGAATCGCTGATTCTATTTATTCTTATAAGGACACACAGATTGTATATACAATAGTAATGTTACCTTTTTGTGTTTGGTTAAAGTGCGTACATCGTATAATTCAGCTTAAACATGGAAACTGTCATCTGTTTACCAGCTCATGAAATGTCTCTTAAATATTTTTATAGTTAAAAGAAGATAAGTTTGTGGTAATAGTTCGATATACACATAAATAGAATTTTGATATTTATCATCCTTCCGTAAAGTTGTATTAATTGTTTTAATACCGTATAAGGACAACTGTTTTTCTAGCTACAGTTTCTATATGCACATGTGTGATTATTTCCGCACTTTTCTTTCCTTTTTGACATATTTTGTATTTATTTTATTGTTGATTATTTTGTAAATATCCATCAGATCAATGAAAATGATTACTGAAGCTATGATAGGACACTATACCGCATTTTTATCCTTTCATCCTCATTCAGAATCAGTAAGACCGATATACATTTTTTTTACGTTTTAGATACTTTATACTTAAGAGCAGAATGAAAAATATTTTGTTCTTTGCATAGCATCATTAAGCTCATAAATAAACCTGTTTATATGTAAGAAATATTTGAATACACCGTACTATGTTTCACATTTATATATCTCTGCACCATACTAGGAGTCATCTTTATACGCATCTTCGAGATTAATATTAAATAAATCAAAGAGAAAGAAAGAAAGTGAAATTTCTAAATCTTGTATTTTTTTCGCATATAACAATATTCTGGTCCAAGAACAAAGTAAATCATTGATTAAACAGCCATCATCGGCTTTCCAGGGACACCACCATAATTATCGATGTGATGACTGTAGCAACAACTTGTTACCCCCGTCGCGGCCATCTTCCCCCTCTCCAGCCATCGTCCCAGTTGTTGTTCCATCCGTTGTTCCAGCCATTGTTGTCCCAGCCATTGTTGTTCCAGCCATTGTTCCAATTATTGTCCCAACCTCCACGCCAACCTGTGGAATTTAAACGTTTTAAACTGCTTTAGAAAATATTTAAACGGTAAATACAACTTATCTTTCTTCCAAGACAAAAGTCCTTTTTGAGACATACTGTAAGGTTTATTAAACCTTAAATGCACAAAATTAATTGGATATGGTAGATTCCTATAAAATTCATCTTAATCAATGGTAAATGTTCATTAGATATTTAGAAGTCCAATAATAAATAATGTTCGTGAAATATTTAAAAACTGTCCTAAACTCTTACCTCGGCGTTGTGCAACAGTCACACCAATACAGAAGAGTAGAAATGCTAAACACAGAAGTCTCAACATGGCTGCAATAAAGACTGACGATACCTATACCTGCATCATATTTATAGTAGACCAGATGGAACATGCAACAATTAGGTTTCTTCTTGTCATTTTTTATTTTTGTCATATTTCTGTCTAACAGCATGTTTACAAATATTTTTATGTACTTTCAGAGATCAATTATGTCAAATCTTTTGAAAAGAAAGTCGCAGTTATGTTTCTGTTGACTTCTTTTTTTGGAGACAAGGATAAGTGATACAATTATGATTAAATTTATATTTACACAAACATAAAAATATTAAAGGTCCAACCACCAGTTTTTATTTCCTTATTTGCTTTTTTATTGTTGTGTATTGGGACACAAGTAAGTACAACACGTGTTCATGGAACCATGGAACTACTTTAATAATGAAGAACACGTAATAGCAAAAAACCAATAACGTATACATAACATATTTCCGGAATACATGGACATAACATTCCTCCCTCTTAAGTTTTAAAGTAAGATATATCCCTTTACATTGTTTTCTCTCATATAATGGTAAGTCTCGGAAATAAATGACAACATACAAATGTAAATATACATTTAAGAACAAAGGTATGAGCAACATATGTACAAATGAGAAACTTTTGTTTCCCTGTGATACCATGAGGATTATTATGCCTCAATCTGCACTAGTATCACATTTCACTTCAATGTTAAACATAATCATCAAGATGTTTGGGTGGTTTCCTGACACGACTCGGATATCTTGGTTCAGGAGCAGCTTGAGTAGATGGCATGGCTGGGTAATCATTGGATGGATGCAAAGGATGTGGTTCTATATTGGACGTGGGTGAGTTCTGTTTCGCGATGTTTGGCTTCACTGGTTGCTGACTCACAGCTGCGTTACTAGGTTGAATATGCAAGTTTTCCTGAATCGGCACATTTGAAGAACGCAACTGATCAGCGTGACGTCTCCACGTGACTCCTGGTGTTACTTCTACAGAATATGATACAGGTCCAGTCTGAGCTGTTACAGTTCCGGAAGTCCACTGACAATGATTCTTTCGGTAGTCACGAACAGCAACAGAATCTCCTGGTTCGAATTTACGCAACACACTTTTTCTTCTTTCACGCACTTCACACTGTTTCTGCTCTACCTTCCTCCTGACATCTGGTTTCATGAGGTCTAAACGAGATGGTAAGTTTCTGCCCATGAATAATTTTGCTGGACTTTCATTTGTTGTACACTGTGGAGCATTACGGTAAGCCATAAGAAAATTGCTTAGTTTCTTCACCACACTACCACTTTTCCTTTTTACTCGACTTGAGACTCATCTTGAATGACTGTACAAATCTTTCTGCTAAACCGTTAGTACTGGGGTGATAGGGTGCTGAGGTTATGTGTTTTATACCATTTCCTCTGGTAAATTTGGTAAACTCCTCTGATGTGAATTGAGGTCCATTGTCGCTTACAATTTGTGATGGAAGGCCATTACGTGCAAAAACAGTACGTAATACATCTATGGTCTGGGAAGATGTGGTGGTTTTCATAGGTATCACCTCTGGCCACTTAGAGTAAGCGTCAAGAATGACTAGAAACATTGAATTGAGAAACGGACCAGCAAAGTCAATATGGATCCTTTCCCATGGTCTAGATGACCATTCCCAGGGGTGAATAGGTGAGGCTGGCGGTGCATGTTTTACAGTCTGGCATCCAGCACAGCTCTCTGTCAAAAGTTCTATATCCCGATCTATCCCTGGCCACCAAGCATGACTTCTTGCTAAGGTTTTCATTTTAACCACACCAATGTGGCCTTGATGTAGCTCATCCAAAACTTGACTACGCAGTGACGGTTGAATCACAACACGGATTCCCCATAATAGACAGTTCTGGTGAATAGTAAGTTCACTACGGCGTGTAAAGTATGGGTCCATCTCCTTTGATTCTGAATTTACACACCAACCTCTGGAAACATGTTCATAAACTTTGGACAAGAGATAATCACGCTTTGTTTCATGTTGGATTGCTTCGGGTTTTATGGGTAGATGTTCCAGTTGACTGACATGCTACATCTCCACTTCTGCTTCCTCTTCATTGTCCACTAATCGGCTACCCTCATACGTGACAGGTAAGCGTGACAAACTGTCGGCATTTCCATGTTTCTTTGTATTTCTGTAAACTATATCATAGTTGTATCCAGCTAGGAAAAGGGCGTACCTTTGCAGCCTAGCTGCTGTTGTATTTGCGATCCCCTTCTTTGGACCAAATATAGAGATGAGTGGTTCATGGTCTGTAATAAGACGAAAATGTCTTTCGTAAACATAAGTGTTGAAACGTTTTACTCCCCATATAATTCCTAGAGCTTCCTTCTCTATCTGTGAGTAGTTTTTCTCAGATGTGCTAAGTGAGCGGGATGCATAAGCAATTGGTCTTTCTTCACCATTGGGCATAATGTGGCTCAAAACAGCTCCAAGGCCATAAGGAGAGGCGTTTGTCGTAAGACATAAGGGTAGGTTTGGATCATAATGGGTAAGTACTTCATCTGATGTGATGAGTTTTTTAACAGTCTTAAAGGCCTCCTTACAGTCTTTTGTCCAACACCACTTGCAGTCCTTCTCCAGTAAGTTGTACAGTGGGTGAAGCACTGTAGATAAATTGGGAATGAAACGTGCATAGTAGTTCACAATCCCCAAGAATGAACGAAGCTCGGACACATTAGTAGGCTGTGGTGCATTTACAACTGCGTCTATCTTCTTCTGTGTCTTTTGTAAACCATTACGGTCAATTTCATGCCCACAGAAAGATACTTTATCCTTGAAAAATTGGCACTTGTCCAAGTTTACTCTGAGTCCATATTCTGCCAATCTGCCAAGCACAGCATCTAAATTTCGTAAATGCTCTGCTTCATCTTTGCCTGTGATGATCATATCGTCAATAATGCACTTCACTCCAGGAAGTCCTTGAAGCACCATATCCATCGAACGCTGCCAGATTGCTGGCGCAGATGCAACACCATACACTAGGCGATTGTAACGATATAAGCCCTTTTCTGTGTTGATGGTCAATAAGGGACGCGAATCCTCTTCTACCTCCATCTGTAGGTAGGCATGTTTTAAATCCACTTTTGAGAATTGTTGTCCTCCAGATAAAGCAGCAAATATATCTTCAATTCTTGGAAGAGGGTACTGGTCAACTTCTAATACTGGGTTAAGAGTCACCTTGAAATCTCCACACACACGAACTGAACCATCCTTCTTAGTGACTGGTACAATGGGCGTTGCCCATTCACTACAGTTGCACTTCTCCAGTACACCATCTTTGACTAACTTCTCTAGTTCTATGTCAACTTTAGGTTTTAGTGCATAAGGCACCTGTCTGGCTTTCACAAACTTAGGTTTTGTATTGGGTTTGACATTCAACTTTGCCTTAATTCCCTTTAATGTGCCAAAATTGTCCTCGAATATACTCGAATGTTTATCTAACACAGTTTTGAGGTTTTTTTCTGTTTTACAAGTTACAAGTGCTTTTATTTCTGGCCAGTTCAATTAATCTGTTTCAGCCAATCCCGACCAAATAGTGTAACTCCAGCTTTTTCCACAACATAAAGATTAAGATTCTTGCACTGGTCCTGGTATCTCACACTGACTTCTGCGATACCCACAGGCTTTATTCTTTCTCCTGTGTAAGTCCTTAGCAAAATATCACTAGGTTTCATCTTGACATTTGGAAATTTCTCCTTGAATATTTTCTCAGGAATTACAGATACTGCGGCCCCTGTATCCAATTCCATTTCTAGACTAACACTGTTTACTATGGGTGTGATCCTTATCACATCGTCTGATCTGCTCATGGAGTTAATATCCATCTCCAAAGTCTTAATGTAGATCTGGTCACCATCACTATCTGAACTGTCATTTATCATGTGGATACTCATCTTATTTTTCTTCTGGCTGCGACATGCATGTTTGGAGTGACCCTTCTTGTGACACTTGAAACACTCCTTGTCTCTGTAATAACAGCTTTGTGGATGGTGGTCACCATTGCACTGGAAACATGATTTTCCTCCCTTGGGGGTATATTTCCCTGATGTCCCACAATAGCCTTGATATTTCTTTTTAGTATGCAGTTTATGTACACTTGCACTAGGACTGTGCTTAGATTGTAGTTCTGTGGCATCCCGGGCTGCTGTCTCCATTGCAACGGCCATATCCGTAGCAGAAGTAAAGGTTAGTTCCGCCTCAGATAGAAGTTTCTTTTGTATATGCTCACTGCGTAAGCCACAAACAAGTCTGTCTCGTAACATATCATCCAGAATAGCCTCATCAAATAAGCAATGTTCAGATAACTTTCTCAGAGCTGCTACATAATTAAGAATAGTCTCACCTTCTGCTTGTTCCCTCTTATGAAAGCGAAAACGTTCAGCTATGACTAGCGGCTTTGGACATAGATGCTTTCGTAGTGTCGCTACTAAGTCGCCATACGATACCTCTGAAGGTTTCTTCGGTCTCGTGAGCCCTCGCAGCAGTGAATAAGTGTTTCCACCAATCAGTGTAAGTAAAACGGGTACTTTCTTGTCTGTCTTAACTTCATTACAAATAAAGTATTGTTCAAGGCGTTCATGATACGAATCCAAGGACTCAACTGCACTATCAAATGGTTCCAATCGGCCTATTTTTCCTGCCATGACCGTGAAAGCACGTGGACGGTACACAGAACAAATTCGGTACACAATCCGAACAGTTACTTGCACAATCCTCGTCGCCAATGTTGTGTATTGGGACACAAGTAAGTACAACACGTGTTCATGGAACCATGGAACTACTTTAATAATGAAGAACACGTAATAGTAAAAAAACCAATAACGTATACATAACATATTTCCGGAATACATGGACATAACATTTATAAAGATGAAAATTCGGATTGAACTAGATCCTGGACTTTCTCTGATCTGATTGATGGTCTATCGTGGTTTTTATTTTCCTGATAGCAGTTGGTCACATGCACGTATGTTGTAATTACAGATGACATTGCGATACAGTTTAATGCAGTTTAAACGTAATTTCTTTTCATAAACTGGATAGAACTAGAGCCATAAAAAGACATTAAAAAGACCACGTATGAAGCAAAAATATTTCCCTTAAATACTTGGATATACATGTACTTAGTGAAATAAATTTGTATCACTGTTTGTAATATTCAACTTTTACTTTTTAACATCCCTAGAATCAAATATTCAAAATATCCGTTTGAAAGATCATCTTTTCAATAAGGCCTTTGTAAATTTACTGCATGCATTGGTTTTTAATTTGCACTCCTAAACTTTTTATATCTTAACTAACTAAAATTGGACCTAATTAAGTGGGTAGCAATTTATTATGATGATAAAATATTTTCATTAACTGCTGTGATTTTTTTCATGGTATTTTTCTTTTTTAAAGTCTATAACACGATGCTCTGAATAAAAAAAAAATATCAGAACACAATTTATTTTGTTTTACTCAAAATTCTGAGTCCGTGAACTGGGCAAATGGAGCTGACGTACGAAATGAAAATTTCTTTTCTTCTGTGGATAAGGAAACTAGTATCAAGCTTTGATATTTGACCTTAGACACCATGTAACATCAGATAGGCAGGTTAAATTTTTCTGTGAAATATTCAATAACTTCTAGCACTAGAATTCAAGCGCAATCTATATTTGTTTTAATTGACCCAAATTATGAACACCCGGGAGATTAGACATTGGTTTTGGTCATGAAAAAGCAGAAATGTGAATGCAAGTATTTGAAGTGGCAAATCAAACAAAGTGAATTAGGAAGTGAAATATTTCAACTCAGCGACAGATACCATAAATTAGAATCCCTCAGGTATGACTTTGTTCGTGGATATTACCAAAAAAGCGTTTTCAAGTAAACCTAATGATGTAAAGTAAAAAGTTAGCATCAACCGTGGATTCACATAGATGGACCCTTCAACAGTTTAACTCAACAGCCAAAAAGCCCATATAACTAAAGAATAATTTTAATGTATTTTCTATACATATTAGAAAAGCAATTTCTATTATTTTTTGCAGCTCTATTCTTTGTAATATGATTGAGATTCATTTTTCTAATACACGTAGATATCATTCAGACAAAAACTTTAATAAAACAGTTAAAATGACTCATACATTTCTTAATTACAGTTGTGTACTGCCATTTCTCAACAGCTTTGTCAGTACAACAATATGGGAACAAATTATTAGTGTATGCAGATATGTATTGAAAACAATGGTTAATTATGTAGCTACTACAATATCCCTGAACCAATCCAAGATTCGAAAGTAGATCACCTACGTAGGCACATTCATCTAATGTTTGAAATGTCAAAAATTTTCATTTATTGATGGATAAATATGAAATATGGGTTCCTATATTCTAAAGTCAATAAAAAGAACATTGAATTCCAATGAATAGTTTCAAATAATGGCCTGAAAAGACAAAACAGTTAGAAATATATATGTGAAATATCAAGTCATGTCTGTTTTCCTAGATCAGGGCATGACAAAATTTAAAATCAATGCCCCCAGTGATGATTTAAATTAAATGACAGCTTACTACATTGTAACTGCGCAAACACAAAATTCTATGTACTTATTTCTAGTTCAAAAACTACAAAATAAATAATTTCCTAAAGATATGGTCTTAATTAACATAATAAATATACAAGTACAACATCTGAGAAAGTTCACGAGAAGGTGTAATGAAATAAAAGTTGTGCTAATCATTTAATATATGAAAGTGACTTCTATATTTTTGATTATACGAAAATGGTTTTAAAAGTGATTTTCAGATTTCAAACTCAGTTTTTTAATAATGATATTGATTTTATTTAGGGAAAACACAACTTATTTGAAAAATTTGCCTTAGAAAAAGAATTAGTTGGGCAATCTTAT